AATACATAGAGGAGGGGGTGGATCAGATTGAGGGGATGAAACCCAGATCCAAATGAAAGCTGGGATGCAGAAGTATTAATTTTTGGCTCCGCAGCAGGTCTACAGCAAACTTGTCACAAGTCTCTTGGTTTGAAGGGCCTGGTCGCCATGGCTGGTGTGGCCACTTGCGCCTGATGTACCACAAGTCCCTCACCTCTGGTGCAAAGCACAAATTCCAAAGGAGGAACTTGCATGTTATATCTGTTTTTTTGGCCCAAGAACCCTTGAATTTTCTGGTGGGAGAAAATTTCCCCTCACATATTTGTTGCCTTCTCCCCACAAACTCTTGGCACCTGTGGTATCAAATTCAAGGCCTTCTTTTTTTGGTGCCAATCACCTATTTTTCCTCCTTCAGGCCCCTGTGAAGTTTTTATTTTTTCTGGGTTTGACCAGAGCACTGTGTAAATTCCCAAAACTTCTGTGCAGACTCAAATGAAATACAGAATTCCTTCTTCCATCCACCTCAGCTTCTGGGCAAGGGACCCTCCAAGTGTAGGTAGGGAAAAAGTGACACTACATTGAACATTAGATGCTTAGCTTCAAGCTGCCCTTCACCTTGTCATCTCATGATGAGTTCTCATGATCTGAGGGCACATACCAGAGCACCTGCAGACTCCCAGTTTTTCATATATTTTTTTTTCAAAAAATCATTTCCAACAAAAAACACACAGCATAGGGGTTAATTTTCACCAACCCCCAAAAAACTTTTTTTTTCAAATTTGGTAGAGTTTAACAAAACAGCCCCAACCCTGTTTGAAGAAACAGTGACTCAAAGTCTGCACTTGTCTCCAACAGCCCACCACACTATATAGCCTCAACATAACATTATTGATCCCACCCTTTTTCAAATATCCCAGAGTAGCGGCCCACTGTTGATATAGGCACTTGCCTCATAGATCCAATCTGTCATATCACAGACATCCCATGTGATACCCACTCACCCCCACACACCTCATCCCCCGTTTGATTGCACAATCCTGCCATCACTACTCCCTGTCTTCTCTCAAAACAAACACACACACATCCCAGTAAGACATGGATTCTAATGGCAATCCGGATGATGAATGATTGGAAGACGCAAATGCAAATGCAAAAAAAAACACAAACAAAGAGGCAAAGGCAAACAAAAATAAAAACAACTCAGCTATCAATCTTTGAGTTCCACCTACCACAGAAGATCACTGAGTTCCATGGTGATGTTGGACTGGTGAAGTTCAACTAGAGAAACTTTTTTTTCCCTTTTTTCCATGGTGATCACATACAACAACAAGGTGCTATGTATAGACCCTCGTGGTGTGGTATTGACTTTGTTTGGGGCGCTAAAAGTGTACCACAGTTGCAGGAGTTCAAAATTTAGGGACTTTTGTAGTCCCCTACTGTGGAGATGGTCTAAGCCTCCCGGGACTGGGGGTGCAGAGCACCCCAATGCAAAGCATCTCCCATACTCAATGGGAGGTGTATGAGTTATTTCCCCTTGGCTGTGTGAGCTCTTCAATTTTTTGGTGGCTTTTGGCCCAATCAATCATATATCCAATGGATCACAACTATGCACTCAGACATCATGATGAGTTGCTTTCAAGCTCAGGAGCAAGTTGAGGATCTTGCCTTCAATGTGTCATGAAAAATTTGAGCAGCACACATCATGGCAAGCTGGGCAAGCAGCCAGGAGGTCAGGAAATTACCATTGATTTAGGGAAGTTGCACTGTAGAGTTGGCAGAATGTCCTTGAACCAGTACAGCTTGTCTGTTTGCAGACAGATAGACAAAAAAAAAATGAAACTTGGGCCCCGTTTGGACGCCCCGTTATACGTTATAAATGGGCAAATTTATAACACTTGACCCCCGGGGGTTATGACGGTCCACCAAATCTGTGTTTGGTGTGGCCATCATAAGCCTCCAATTATAAACACCAGATATATCATCTTTCATATCAACATATACAGCTCATCTCCCTTCCCCAACTAGACAACTCTCCTTCCAACTTGACAACTCTCAACATGCCTCGAGGGAGAAAAGAAAAAAACTCCCAACCGATTCTTGCAACTCAGGTCTCTCAACAATCTAGTGCTGCTCACACCGAGCTCCTATCTCTTGGAAGTGGAACCACCGGGACTCCAGCAAGAACAACACATGGCTTGCAACCATCATTGGCCACACCGAGTGTGATCGATCAACCCGAGAATACACCCCCTAACTCCGAGACCGGCATCAGCTCGCAAAATCAGCCCCCTAATTCTGAGACCCGACCTGAAGGCACTAACTCTCAAAATCAACCCGAAGGTGATAACTCTCATCGGAAAAATCTTGTCTGGACCCCAGCGATGGAAAAGAGCGCTCTCGACTTGTACGTCAAAGCGGTTGAAGAAGGAAAGCGATGCGATAATGGTTTCAGCCTGAACTCACCGATGGGTGGCTACTGAGCTATCGATGAGTCCTGATCGAGTTACTGGTCCAAGTCAGTCCAGTAACA